AACAGCGGCCACGAGAGCACCCGTCTCCATGGGATCACTCAGTCATCTGCAAAACTCTCCCTCCCCATGATCAGCAACACTCGGAAAGCAGCAGCAGGGATTATGGGGAAGGAGAGTTTATGTAGCGGCTTCCCCAGAGCAGTCACACCCTGCAGACGACCAGGTGATCGCAGAAGAGGCAGGGGGTGGAGCCAGTCTGCTCACAGGGGCTCTCTCTCCCTGTGTGGTTTAGTGAATGCATGGGGCCCTCATCTGGACTGGGCTACAGTCACCGGGCACATTTAAGACCACGGCTAACATTGAGTAGAAAGTCGGGTCCAATAGCGCGAATGAGAGTTTCAGGGTATGAGCTTTCGAGATTCAAAGCTCCCTTCAACCCGTAGAAATGGAGATCTGAGTCCTTTTTTCCTAAGAAGAAGGTGTGTGTGTGTGTGTGTGTGTGTGGGGTGTTGTAAAGGATGCTTGTAAAGGATGCAAAGGTACCATGTACTCTGTAATCGGCTTAGAGCAGAGAGGAAATGCTTGGGGGAAGAAAATCAGCATCTGTAGTGAGATAAGAATCCTATGTCCTTATTCACCCCTCCCCCCCTCCATTGTTCGGAACTTGTGAATTAACTCAAATTCAGCAATCTCACCTTGTAATTGAGTAGATTATCTACAGTGCAACCCTAAACAGAGTTAACACCCTTCTAAATTCACTAAAATCAATGGGTTTAGAAGGATGTAACACCGTTAAAGGATTACCCCCTTAGCGAATTGTTGTTTGCAAAGCAGATTATATTGAAGCCTGAGCTGGGTAGTTTAAAAACAAACAAACAAACAAACCTCTAAGTATTGGTAAAATACCGAAAACAGTGGCCACGTTCTTCCTAGTAGAAGAGCTAACATAGATTTTGCAGTATCGATATCAAGACTTCTCTGGTCTTTATCCTAAAATGAAAAAGCAAGACTGAGAACCTGCAACAAATGGCATCTTGAGGTAACTTGGTTCCTAAGGAGCGGCTGGACTTACCCTTGCAAAATCAAACGCATATCTGTAGATGTTCTTAAATGTTGAAATGTCATTCAATTGTGAACGCAAAAAATCAAATTTACTTTGTAGTTTCTCTGTGCAGTCACATCTAAAATGAAAGGTGACAATGAGCATATGATGGGAAGGGAAATACAATTTCCTTAAAAAAATAGCATAACAGAGTACATCATGCAAAATGCTGGCCTGCATGAATCACAAGCTGGAATTAACATTGCCGGGAAAAACATGAATAACCTCAGATATGCAGACAATACCACCAATGTTCCCTCTAAGCTGTGGAGTCTAGTGAGCAAAAATTTCACTTTGTGAGCTACTGGCATTAAAGTTGTGAGCAAGCGATTTGGCTACTGCATAAATTAGTTTGCTCTGGAGCCCTCCTTTCTGAGCTAAGACAAAAATGTGTGAGCTGGAGGCTAAAAAACTGTGAGCTAGCTCACACTAACTCAGCTTAGAGGGAACACTGAATACCACTCTAATGGCAGAAAGTGAAGAGGACCTAAAGAGCTTCTTCCTGAAGGTGAAAGACAAGAGTGCAAAAGTTGACTTGAAACTCAGCATCAAAAAAACTAAGATCATGGCACCCGGACACATCACTCCTTGGCAAATAGAAGGGGAATTCATGGAAGCAGTAACAGACTTCACGTTCCTGGGATCCCAGATCACTGCAGACGGTGACTGCAGCCATGAAATTAAAAGATGCCTGCTCCTTGGGAGGAAAGCTGTGGCAAACCTAGACAGCATAATAAAAAGTAGAGACATCACCCTGACAAAAGTCCGGATGGTCAAAGCAATGGTATTCCCAGTAGTCATGTATGGCTGCGAGAGCTGGACCATAAGGAAGGCCGAGCGCTGAAGAATAGATGCATTTGAATTATGGTGCTGGAGAAGACACTTCAGGGTCCCTTGGACTGCAAGGAGATCAAATCAGTCAATCTTAAAGGAAATCACACCTGACTGTTCCCTGGAAGGCCAGATACTGAATCTGAAGCTCAAATACTTTGGCCACCAAATGAGAAGGGAGCACTCACTGGAGAAGACCCTGATGCTGGGAAAGACTGAAGGTAAAAGAAGAAGGGTGAGATGGCTAGACAGTGTTATCGATACAACAAACATTAAGTTGAGCAGGCTCTGGAGGACAGCAGAGGACAGGAGGGTCTGGAGTGATGTGGTCCATGGGGTCGTGAAGAGTCAGACTTGACTGTGTGACTGAACAACAACAACATCTACTACCAGGAACAGATATGCTTTCCAAAGACAAATGCTGGGTCATATTCCTGGCTGTTATACAAACAACGTTACTTGGGCCTGATTTGCTGGTATCTTCAACTTTTGATCAGGTTTTAATCAGAAATGAATTGTACACTAACACTTTTAGACAGGCCCCTCAATATTTATGACAACAGGCTTGCTAGAAGCAGCACACCGAAGATATTAAGTATATAATAACTACATAGTGATGCCATGGGATTCCCCCCTCACAGAAGACCTCTGTTTTGAATCCATGTCTGCTTGCACATCTTAGCATGGGCCTAGCAATGAAAAATGGAGTCTGGATCAAAATATTATCAAAATGACAGTGAGTCACACTGAGCCCATGCTAGGATCATGAAGCAGTGCCTCCATTAGTCATGCGAATGCCATATCCAGTGGGAGTCAACCGAAGAGCCTTTTTCCCAAGGACCTAAGGAGTTCCCTCCCTGATATGATGGCCCAAATAATCAAGACAATGAGCAACAGGCCAGCCCCACCCACTTCCTCCTTATCTTAAGTGCTGGATAGGAAGATTTCGCCCCTTATTCCATCATGTAAAGTGCTCAGCCATCTACTCACCTATCTAAAATCTCCCTAAAGGAGCATTTCTCCTTGATATTTTTACCTGTAAGGAAAAAAGCAAAACTCCCCTTCACGATGCACACTGAAAGCCCCTTACAAATTAGCTCATCTCCTGAGAGATGGACTTTTCATCTCTCCCACATTCCAAAGCCAAAATCTTTCCCCCTCCTCAGTCTTAGCTAAAATGTACAAAAAGGTATCCATCAACCCCTCCAATCTGTAGCAGGTTTTGGATCCCAGTCTGTTACCCCAGCTGCACAGTTGGGTTCTCTACTTTTCCACCCCATCCTGCTGCACATCTACAGAACTGCCCAGCTGTCTTCAGGAAGCAGGCTTGTATGTTTTTCTCCCTTGGTAGCAGATAGTTTGTTAGGGAAAGGGTTTAAACTGTGCTTGTACTTTGCATGTGCATTTATTTCCTTTCTGTAACACCTCTATTTTTTATTTACCTGACTTAATTTGGTTCTCTTTCTGTTAAGTTAATACATTAATTTTCTTATTTAAGAAGCGTATCCCCCTCCGTTTGTTTTGAATGTTGGTCTGTATCTTGACACCCCCCGTACACACAGATTATGGTCTCAGCAATCAATACCCCACAATACATGTGTTTTCTCTTTGCCACCAGAAGGACACTTTTGCTAGCTACAAGGGTTGCAAGTGTACTGGAGCTTTGCGTAACAATAGTCTTCAAAATAAAGATGCATTCAGGTGACATAAAACAGTGTTCTTCAACAGCAGTCTGCTAACATCTAACACAAACAGCTCATCTACCATGAATGTATGTCCACCCTGAGCCCTCCAACTCATCTTCGGAAAGGAACCTGACTGAAAACTATTGGGCTAGATTAAGCCCCCATTTTCAAGATGCCTGGATGAAGGTGTCTTGGCACACTGCGGTTTGCAATGCTCCCCACACACCAGGACTGTAAACTGGGATTAAACTGAGGTTCAGAATCCTGGTTTGTGGAGGGGAAAACAATTCCAATTTGCCAAGTCACCTACACTCAGACATTACAGCAAACTGATCCTTGATGAAAAGGAGGAGGAGGAGGAGGAGGAGACTGGATTTATACCCCGCCCTTCACTCAGAGTGGCTTACAAACTCCTTTCTCTTCCCCTCCCCACAACAGAAACCCTGTGAGGTAGGTGGGGCTGAGAGAGCTCTGAGAGAACTGCCCTTGAGAGAACAGCTGTGCCAGAACTATGGCTTGTCCAAGGTCATCCAGCAGCTGCAAGTGGAGGAGTGAGGAATCAAACCCGGTTCTCCCAGATTAGAGTCCGCGCACTTAACCACCACACCAAACTGATGTAGTTTTCAGTCAAGCTTCACCTGCTAGGAAAGATGGGAGGAAGCAAGAGCTGCATAGCCAAAAAGCTGAATTCTTGCCCAATGTCAACAAAACTGATTAACTACAATTTAATGTGATGGTGGAATGTCACTACTGTCTTGTAGACTAATCCCAAGGGAAACTTGCCTTGTCATCTGACTTAGAGGGGATCAGGACTACAGAACAAATTTAAATCCAGCTTTGAATCATACTTTATTCACTGTTATGGCTTCTTTTTAAAACTGAAATTCAACATGACAATCTCAGTTTAAATTAGGAGTAGCAAAACATATTTCAGGAAGAAAGCCACACAGAAAATCATTAATGAAAACTTTTTTGTTCACCTATTTAGATGAGCAGCCAGGAAGAGGAAGGTTTTGTTAAGACCATGGACCAAGTGCTTCAAGTATACTTATAAGCAAGCTGTTGGATGGTGAAGAGCTAGAGGGACATAGTTATGAGCCTACGGACGATTTCAAACTTTCAACAAGCACACACTGTAACATGCTCTCGGGTACACTGATTCTTTCTAACTAAATACTGAGAAGCAGGAATTTCCCTCAGGCTTGAGCAGAATGCCCTCCCTCGTACAAGAGGGAAATAGCCAGTCCCCAACATTCTCTCCATCGCTCCCCCAATATTCTGCATCCCTTCCCCAACATGCCATCACACTCTAAAATGACTAAGATTTAGACCCCAGGCAAGACTTAGCTGAGAGCAGAATTTGGCAAATGGTGGCTGGTTCAGTACGCAGTGACACTATTGACTTCTGTGGGACAACACAGACAGGCTTTGATCTCCGATGATCAGGAAAGGGAGAGGGAATCAAGTTTCCCGCTCCAAATACTAAGATCATCAAGGCAGGTAGCAGATTAAGTCCCTGACTTTCACTTCTTCCTGCAGAACCCATTTGACTACCTTTTATGGAAACAGTGGCTAGTATTATGAATAAGGTAAGATACAATTCACTGCTATGGAGAAACAGAAAGTACTCTTGGAGACACGACTGCATTAGCCGCAAAACCGACACAGAACTATGATACTCTACAGGCCAGACACCACCAAAAAGACACAGGGGAGAACAAAGCAATAACCCCTGCCTATTGGGCAGCTCAAGTGGTGGCTCAAGTGGTTAAGACACTGAACTGCAGGCTGTGGAAGGTCGGTAGTTCAGCAGTTCGAGACCCGAGTGTGCTGCATGACGGAGTGAGCTCCCGTCTCTACCCTCCCCCCCGTAGTCCCTGACTTTCACTTCTTCATGCAGAACTCATTTGACTACCTTTTATGGAAACAGTGGCTAGTATTATGAATAAGGTAAGATACAATTCACTGCTATGGAGAAACAGAAAGTACTCTTGGAGACACGACTGCATTAGCCGCAAAACCGACACAGAACTATGATACTCTACAGGCCAGACACCACCAAAAAGACACAGGGGAGAACAAAGCAATGACCCCTGCCTATCGGGCCTGAAGGCAGGTTGGCGGGGAGGAGTAAAGGGTGATATGCTCCCACTAGTTCCCCTTCCTAAGAAAAAGAGGAGGAGCCATTTTTGGGTTAAGACAGAACTAAAAAGCAACTTCTATTTGACCATCTTCAGTCCCACTCCATCCTAAAGCTTCCTCCCTCTAGATTCATCTAGCCTGGTCGTCAGGAGAAAAAACCCTCACCATCATGAAACATGTGATCAGTTTCAGGCATTGCAGTTTAAGAAGGATGTTGACAAGCTGGAACGTGTCAAGGAGGGCAACAAAGAGCCCCAGAAGGTCGGACCAAAACCAATGGGTTGGAATTAAATCAGAAGAGTTTTCGGCTAAACATTAGGAAGAACTTCCTGACAGTTCGAGCGGTTCCTCAGTGGATCAGGCTTCCTTGGAAGGTGGTGGACTCTCCTTCTTTGAAGCTTTTCAAGCAGAGGCTAGATGGCCATCTGACAGCAATGCTGATTCTGTGAACTTAGGCAGATCATGAGAGGGAGGGCAGGAAGGGAAGAGTCAGTGCCCAGTTCACATGGCCCCTTCTTACATGTTCACCACTTTGGGGTCAGGAAGGAAGTTTTCCTCCAGGTCAGATTGGCGAGAGATCCTGGAGGTTTTTCCCCCTTTCTCTGGGCACACAGCAGGGGTCACTGGGGGAGTGGAGGAGGATAGTTGTAAATTTCCTGCAATGTGCCAGGGGTTAGACTAGATGACCCTTCAGATCCCTTCCAGCTCTATGTTTCTATGGCAGGCAGTCGCAGCAAATGACTAAGAAGCCTGTTTGAACTGGATGACCCTACAGACAATCAACTAAGTTACTAGGTAACTGAAAGAAAAAACCCCAAAACAGATCTGTCATTTCATTCACAAACCCACATACAAATGCGATTTCAAATACAGGAAGTTCTTACTGCAATGAGGTCATCCCCTTCAACCATTCTTCCTTGGTAAAAAATCCCATGCTTTCAGCCTCCAGTTTCCAGGCTAAAACTAACATAATAATCTAAATGGGAGAAGAGAAAAATGGAACAGATAAACACACAAGGGAAAAAAAATACCGGATACCTTTTCTATTCAATATTTAGTTCATTCTTGAAATTGCAACTCAGGTGCATTTGGATAAAGATTAATTTAAAAATCATTCAACCCTGGCAGTTTGTCACATACCCTTACAGTTTTATGGCTTAATTCCTCCTGTAACTGTCATATAGTCATTTTTACCAAAGAGAACTTGTTCCAAACTGGGTGATGTTGAAATGAAAGTCTTTATTCTACAGTGCAATTTGGCTCCTGGAAGTTATTCCTCTAATGCTCTACAGAAAGTACATGATGGAACATTCAGATCTACCAGGACAGGAGTAAAGAAAATAAAAGTTGTCTGCAATACCCTTTGTGACAACACAGGCATGGGTTTAAAGAACAGCATATATTAGAATCAGTATTTGTTGGTCATGACATATTTGTGGCAATCTATGATTAAGACAACTAAGCATCTGAAAAGACTCAAGGGTGCATAGTAATTACCGTATTTTTCGGACCATAAGACGCACCTGACCTTAAGACGCACCTAGTTTTTAAAGGAGGAAAACAGGGAAAAAATATTCTGAACCTTCAGTCCATAAGACGCACTCACTTTTCCTCCCACTTTTTTTGGAAGAAAAAGTGAGTCTTATGGTACAAAAAATACGGTATATTCAAAAGAAATCTGCAAGTTCTGTCTGGAATTGGGATTCCAGAGGCATTCTGGAATCACACGCACAATGAAAAAATTTGTGAATCCTGACAACAGTTATAAAAGCAGAAGGACTCTGCCGCATGTAGTTTCAACCAAGCAATATAGATCAAAAGTCCTTCTCATACATTAAGGAACTGAGAAACACCAATGTAAGTATTCTTCAGAAAAGATCTGTTGCCTTGTATTGACATTCAAACCCAGAGATATCACTTTTTAGACTGTAAAAAGATTTGGCATGCTATTACAAAACAAGAAGCATCTTGGGTTTTAAGACTGCAAACTATTGCTTAGATCCTATGAACAATTTCCCTGCATGCTGGATAGTCTCTTCCATGGAGCACATTACCTCTAGCACTAGCGTTTCTGATAGTGAAAACCAGTGGTTTCTGTGATGAAACAGGGACCCACCCTCAGCCCTGGGAGACTGAGCGGCTGTTCTGTGGCTCACAAACCCATTTTTGCCTTCCCACCCTTCTGGTGCGGCTATTTCCCTTCATTACATGCTGCCACCACTCACGGAATTGACACCACCTTCCTAGAGGGACAGTGAGACCCCTCTGGCTGATTCCCCAACCTTGGGAAGTTGGTACCGCAATTTTTGGGCGTCCCCTGGAGAGTTGGCAACCCCTCCGATTTGGGCCCGTTTGGTTCCCTGGCATCCCTTTTGCTTCTGGTAATGCGCTGAGCGGGGAGGACTAAGTGGTCAAGGCACACCAGGTCTTAGAATTCCAAAAAGAAATTTTATTTTAACTATGTACAAGTTAAGCGCAGAAAATAAACACGAGAACATTAAGACAACCTGGGCAAAAGATAAATACGATTTAAAACGCCATTCCTCTGTCCCCCTCTCTGTCTCTGGAGGTTGTGGAGAAACCCCAGCCCTTCACCAGACTGGTCACCGGTACTGTTGCCCTCCTGGCTGTCTACCACGGTTTATAGTGGCCTGGATGCCCTGGAGTTTCAGGAAACAGGAGCCCCCACCTGTCTGCTCTCTTGAAGCTGCTGTCCGTGCTGAGTCAAAGGCTGAAGACCAGGCTGAAGACCGAACTCCCCCCTCAGGGCCAAAGCCTTTATCCCCCTAGCTCCACCCCTGGGGAGTGTCCATATTTTCCCACCCTTTTCCTCTAGCGCTTCTGGGAAATGTAGGCAGGCAAATGAGCAAGTCCCATCAACCTGGTGAGGGTTATCCCTGCAGGCCCCCATCCGGAACTACAGGCCACTTACCCTTATGGGGAACCATTTTAAGCACCAGGTACAGATGGCCTCCATCTTACACACCCAGGTAAATGCCATTTCGTCACAGTTTCCAATAAGCCCTTGTGTAAACTTAAGTATTAATGAAAGCGGAAGAGTGCTCCATGGCAGAGACTAGCTAGCACATAAGGAATATGCCTACTAAGGGGTTAAAAGAAAATCTTGAGCCATCACAACAGATTTATCCTAGCTGAAGGATGCATCATTTCTTTTCCCCATCAGCCATTAGTAACATTTATGCAAAGAGACACAGCTTCTCTCTTTTACTGGAAGGAATGTGTGTGTTTCAAAAGTGAGTTTATCTGTTCAGTCTAGTTATGCAGATTTTACTCCTGTTTTCAGACTTGTTGCATTTAAAGGTATAGTGCTTAGTGCTGATTAGAACACTGACGTTTCCAGTGTAAATTGCCGTAAGCAATTTCAGTGTTAACGTATACTGATGATGCATTTTTTTTTGCTTTTTTATCCTATTTTAATAGAGACTTGGGTTTATTGCCCCTCCATGTTCTTTAATGGTTTTATGAGTACATCTCTTATTCTCAGGTAGCAATATTTTAATTAATTTAAGATTACACGATTTATCTAAGATTTCTGTAGATTTGCCTAAGGGCAAAAAAACTTGTTGGGAGTTTTAATGTAGACTCTTAACGCCAACTAACACCTTCCGTGCCCAATTACATCCCCCCCCACCCGTAAATACCTCCAGTGTTGTTTTTCCGTTAGTTGTGCTTATTATGTCTGCCTGCAGAAACTGGAGAACAGAAGGCAACATCTGCAAATGGCCTGGTGAGCACTTCCTTCCCATTCTCCTTTACAATTACGCTTCTACCCTCATTTTACCTTACAAGGAAGATAAAGGGTTAAGAACCCAGCGTATTCGAATGTTGTTCCACCCTTGAACTCAATTTTTAACAACCGTTTTTGGAGATCATTAAGTAATGAATCATTCCATCTAACCCATTTTTTTAAAAAAGAATAATAATAAAACCAGGGTCCCAAGCAGTGTTCCCTCTAAGCTGAGTTAGTGTGAGCTAGCTCACAGTTTTTTAGCCTCCGGCTCACACATTGTTGTCTTCGCTCAGGAAGGATGGCTCCGGAGCAAACTAATTTACGCAGCAGCCAAATTCCCCGCTCACAACTTTCATGCCAGTAGCTCACAAAGTAGAATTTATGCTCACAAGACTCCACAGCTTAGAGGGAGCATTGGCCCCATGTTTGATTGGGGGAGACAACAGAAACCCAGAACACAAAGGAAGCAAAAACAATGGAAAACTGAAATGATTCAGTTTTTCACTACATGGCTAGAAAATCTCCAGTAGCAAAACTCACGTTTTCAGGTTCAACGCCAATATCCTCACAGAATTTCTCCATTCCTTCCGGCCCTACAACTTCATCATCACCTTCAGTGAGAAGAAAGCAGCTTGAGATACATATGACATACACGTCATATTTGTGTCTTTCATTTATAAGCAAAGCAAACTCTTGGTGGCATACTGCATTAGGACTGCAGGAATGTGGGGCAGAGAAGCCACAAGAGGGGCAGGGGTGGTTCAACCCTCTCCCTCCGCAGCTATTTGCTCTCTTCACTCTGTTGCTCTGTAGCTTTTGACAGAGTCCGGGGTTCCAAGACCCAACTGAGCCACCAAATGTGTCCTTCCAGATGCGCTGGCCCAATGAACACGAAACTGAGCCCTTGCTGAGGCAAAGCACTGGAGGATATTTCACATAAACACCCTTCAAATCAGGGGCCCCCAACCATTTTGAACCTGTGGGAACATCTGGAATTCTGACACGGCACGGTGCACGCAGCAACAATATAGCTGCCACAAAATGGCTGCCACAGGAACCTGAGCCAGCCGCAAAATGATTGCCACAGCTTAACTCCAGTAGCATGATGTAGATCCTTGTGCTGTGCTGACTGTCGCTGCCAAAGCAATGTTTAAAAAATCTGCCCAGCCAACCAAATCTCCAGCAGTCAATCAGAAGCCCTGCGGGGCAAAAGCAGCACCTGACCCTACCCACTTCTTCAAAACACTTGGTAAACATGAGAAAAGGTATCAGTGGGTGCCATGGTGCCCACAAGCAGAACGCTGGAGACCCCAGCCTCAGATCATCATAGCGCTAGCTATGGATAAAAGGAAGTACTTCTTCACCCAAAGAGTGATTAACACATGGAATTCACTGCCACAGGAAGTGGTGGCGGCTACAAGCATGGACGGCTTCAAGAGGGAATTGGATAAGCATATGGAGCAGAGGTCCATCAGTGGCTATTAGCCACAAGGTATAGACAGGGACTCTGGGGCAAGTGATGCTCTGTCTTCTTGGTGCTTGGGGCGGTCAACAGTGGGAGGGCTTCTAATGTCCTGGCCCCACTGGGGGACCTCCTGATGGCACTGGTATTTCTGGCCACTGTGTGATACAGAGTGTTGGACTGGATGGGCCTTTGGCCTGATCCAACATTGACGTCTCTTATGTTCTTTTTCAACTGTAGTTATGGGGCTGGAACAGGTTTCAGGACGACTGACATCCTCTTCCCCTTCACTGGAATGAGTTCTTTCCTTCTAGCTTTTCTACTTTTAAGGAAAGCGTCAGCAATTTTGTCCCTTTTAACTGTAATCGAGGCAGGAGGACGGAATGCTTTGGGACATGGCCTGTGGGAAGGGTGTATACAGCACACGTCTGATCTCTTTGTTGCATTCAGCAGGGCCCCTGTACTACATCCACTGTGTTACTTTTTTAAAAGAAAAGATCTCTCCATGTGCAATTTGTACAGAATGCTGAACGGATGCAAAGTTATTTTAATTCTTGCATTTTCATGTTAAATAGAATTGCCGCTTCAGAAGCACTTTATAATTTGCATATTTAAGACTGAAGTCATGTGCAAGGGAACTAATCTGATCTAAAGAATAATCTTGTATTTTAGCCTTCTAGCTTAAGGAAGACCCTGCACCCCTCAAACAGTTAGTGAAATGCCACTGGACGTCTCTGGTTCATGCAAGCACAGTTGTACACAGACCTCTATTGTGGACACTGGCCGTGCCAGGTTATTTTATCATACAAATCTGTACAATAGAGATTGGCCAGCAAACACAAACAAAATCAGACAGGAAAATACAGCACGACAGCCTTGAATGCAGAACAAGGATAAAACAGCATCCTCTTAGCCATGCTGCCACCTTCTTGTTAGACTATCTATGTTTTGGGGAATGATGGGAATGATGCTCTGTCTTCTTGGTGCTTGGGGGGAGGTCAACAGTGGGAGGGCTTCTAATGTCCTGGCCCCACTGGTGGACCTCCTGATGGCACTGGTATTTCTGGCCACTGTGTGACACAGAGTGTTGGACTGGATGGGCCTTTGGCCTGATCCAACATTGGCGTCTCTTATGTTCTTATGATGAGAGATTAATCCTTTCGCACACAACAGAAAATTGAGTACAGGGAACAGTCACTATACAGTCATGTGTTCAAAGGAAGGCAACAGTAGGGTATCCATCCTGTGATCAACCTTTTTTTGCTGTTGGTAGAGAAGAACAGGCACCGATTCCCATTGTTGCTTCCTCCGGGATCCCGGTTAGCAGAGAAGAGCACGAGGATGTGACAGGCTGGCTAAGTAACTACTGACAAGGTTGCCTGGCATATCTAAAATTAGACTTTAGAATTTGGATACTATAGCTAATCACATTGTGCTTAAGTACTCTAAGTGAACTGGATATGTTCTAGACTTGGTGTAGTGGTTAAGTGCGCAAACTCTAATCGGGGAGAACCAGGTTTGATTCCCCACTCCTCCACTTGCAGCTGCTGGATGACCTAGGGCATGCCATAGTTCTGTCAGATCTGTTCGAGAGGGAGCTCTCTCAGCCCCACCTACCTCACTGGATGTCTGCTGTGGGGAAAGGAAAGGAGTTTGTAAGCCACTCTGAGACTCCGAGTGAAGGGCGGGGTATAAATCCAATCTCCTCTTCTCTAGTCTATTGTTATTTGTTGTAACTATTATTAATTTATTCATTGTGTTTTAACTGCTCATGTTTACTATGATGTACACTGCCCTGAGCCCTCCGGGGGTGGGAAGTTTATATTTAAATACATAAATAAATATAAATATAAATAAATAACATAGGGGCTCCCAGTCTTTTTGATCCTGCAGGCACCTTTGAAATTCTGATGCAGTGTGGTGGGCACAGCCATAAAATGGCTGCCTTGGGAAGTGGAGCCAGCCACAAAATGGCTGCTATGGCTTACTTTCAGTTATGTAGTGAAGAACATTGTGCTGTGGGGGCAGCTGCTGTCAAAGAAACAATCTAACAATCTGCACAGCCAATCAAATATCCAGTGGCCAATCAGAAGCCTTAGTGAACAAAAGCCCCACCTGCATCTGCCCACTTTCTAAAAAACCTTAGCGAGTACCAGGAAAACAACTGATGGGCGTCATGGTACCTATAGGCACCACATTAGAATCTCCTGGGTTAACATGTCTAAAACACATTTCAATTGTACATCATACCTAATTAACTGTATCAAAAAGAGGAATTTAAAACCAGCATCAGTTTCTTACCCGCATATTCGTAAAACCAGGCCAGGCACTTCTTGCTTGAAAAATGTTCCTCCCCACTTATCACTTTACCAGAAGCTTGCGACCTGCAATAGCTTGCAAAAACATAAGGAGACAGACAATAAAGTTACTGTCACATTTCCAGGTATAATTCCCTGTAATGAGCCATTCAAAGACATACAGAACTTTAACAAAAAAAGAAAAGGGCAAAAGAGTTTGCTCAAAATGAATTTGTCATGTTTGATCTCATTCTTTCCTAAAAGTTTTACAAGGGAGTAAATAATACCCTTTGTAAGTACCAAACCGAGAACATTCTTTCTGTTCTTCGTAACTGTCTGGGCTTGGAAATTCAAAAGAACAATGCGTATTACCCAAACCGTGATGCAGCAGGTCAAGAACTCACTTTGATGCTCATAGCCAAGTTTGAACAGACATGTTTGTGCCTACACATATTTAGATATAGAACACTTTAATTCAGGAAGTGTTAAGACCTCATAAACTGCCCTTGATAGGAAATACATAACTAAGCCTCTTTGACAGGTCACTTAAATGTATTTTAATGGCCTTTTAAAACAAGTATCTAGAATTAGAGAGTTGAAAGGGGACATAAAGGCCATCTAGTCCAACCCCTGAGTGCTCAGTGCGTGATCAGCCAACCCTAGAGCATCCTTGACAAGTATTCATCCAGCTGCCAATGAGGGGGAGCTCAAAACCTCCCTAGACAGCCAGTTCCACTACTGAACTGCTCTTAACTGTGAAAAAAAAGATTCCTAATAGCCAGCCGGTACCTTCCCGCCTGTAATTTGAACCCATTTTTGTGAGTCCTATCTTCTGCTGCCAACAGGAACAGCTCCCTGTTTCCTCTTAAGTGACAGCCCTTCAAATACTTAAAGAGAGCATTCATGACCCCCCACCTCCCTTTCTCCAGACTGAACATTCCCAAGTCCCTCAGTCATTCCTTGTAGGGCTTGGTCTCCAGCAATGTTCCCTCTAAGCTGTGTAGTCTTGTGAGCAAAAATTCTACTTTGTGAGCTACTGCCATTAAAGCTATGAGTGGGCTATTTGGCTGCTGCTTAAATTAAGTTTGCTCTGGAGCCCTCCTTCCTGAGCTGAGACAAAAATGTGTGAGCCGGAGGCTAAAAAACTGTGAGCTAGCTCACACTAACTCAGCTGAGAGGGAACACCGGTCTCCAGGTATAATCTGGAGTATCTGGGCCCACTGGATATGTATATAACAGGGTCTGTACCCATATCAGTGGTAACAGTTATGCACAAAAAGCACATGCAAAGAGTTGAATCAGGGCCAGAAATATTAAACTGATAGCACAATAAATGACATCAAGTGACACACAGCCAAAAGAGCAAGGAAGTCTGCAGTTGAACAAATGTGTCATTTCCTGTTATTTTCTAACCTGATGGCACATTGGTTCATAGATACAAAACACTGATTCTTGTGGAATACTCAATAATATACTCTCATTGATAGTTAGAATCCAACATATTTGTTGTTCTGGAAACATTTTTGCTCTTATGGACTCTCCTGCCCTTTCGCGTGGGCCTTCTCGGTGGCCACATTTGGGGTTTACAGAGCAGAGAATGTGACAGCCCCAATTTCACAGAATTCTTTTTGCCCCAGGAAAGCCACCATACTCTGTTTATTAAAGTAAGGAGATCTGCTTGTTCGGTTTGGTGGGGGTTTGGCTACTGAGGCTTTAATGCTGGTTCTATACTACTGTCTTCAAACCCGATTGCTTTAATTATATTTTAGGATCCTGTTGATTGTATTATTCCGTTCGCAGGCTGCCTGAACGCATGCCTGAAGAGAATGGTATGAAGCAGGTAAGTAAAATAAAATTCCAGTTAGAACAGGGGTCCCCAATGTGGTGACCAAGGGCACCAGGGTGCCCCCTGATACCTTTCCCACTGACACCTTTCACGGCCACAGGAGGTGGTGGCGGCTACACGCATGGACGGCTTCAAGAGGGAACTGGATAAGCATATGGAGCAGAGGTCCATCAGTGGCTCTTAGCCACAAGGTATAGATAGGAACTCTCGGTCTAGGGCAAGTGATGCTCTGTATTCTTGGTGCTTGGTTGGGGGGCAACAGTGGGAGGGCTTCTAGTGTCCTGGCCCCACTGCTGGACTTCCTGATGGTACCTGGTATTTTTGGCCATAGTGTGACAGAGTGTTGGACTGGATGGGCCATTGGCCTGATCCAACATTGGCTTCCCTTATGTTCTTATGTTCCTGGGGCCCACCAAATATTTTTAGAAAGCAGGCAGGTCCAGGTGGAGCTTTTGTCCAGCAGGTCCACTGGAGAGCTGATTGGCTGGGCAGCTGCCACAGCACAAGGATCTTCTCTGTGTTACTGTGTATGCAAGAAAATATTTTTCAAAAAAATACATTCATTTTAAAATGCCTCCTGTTAAACAGAGTTTCAGCTTGAAATGTTAAAGAGTTATTGTTAAGAGTTATAAATAACTTCACTCCCTGACATTTTTGCATCCAGCACCCTTTTTAAAAAAATTACGGCCCTGGTCTGGATAGCCCAGGCAAGCCCGATCTCAGAAGCTAAGCAGGGCCGACCCCGGCAAGTATTTGGATGGGAGACCTCCAGAGAATACCAAGGTCAGGAGGCAGAGGCAGGCTGTCAAGCCATTTCTCTGAACGTCCTCCATGACCCAGTGTGAGTCGCAAGAGGTCACCACGACTTCCAGGCACAGGTACACACACAAATGCAAAAATAAATAAATAAATTACAATGGCGCCCACGAGCTTGGAAGGGTTGGGGACCCCTGAATCAAAACATGACCGTCAGTAAGTTTATTCAGAATTTCCCTGAAAATTCAAGGGGATTCCTTCGTATCTAAATTTAGGATTTCAGCTTTAGAAAATTCTCAGCTCTTAACCAATGATTTTTAAAAGGTCACCGTAACAATGAAACCCGCCTCTATCAGTTTCATTCTATTAAAAAGTTTCATGTTTAACTGAAAGTCTAGATCTTGGGCGACCCAGAACACTCACACACCCTAGTAAAACATCTACTTTAATGTAAGGAGAGCAGCTGAACATCTACAACTACACTGCACAACTGAGAGGAACCTATGAATCTGATATTTAAAGTACAAGCAACTGGAAAGCCTATGTATTTATTTTATTTTATTTATTTTTTCGCATTTATATCCCGCCCTTTCCCGGAGGCTCAGGGCGGCTGAATATGTAAATATCCATTGCTCTCTCTGACTGCTCCTTATAAACCAGCAACGAAGGCACAGAATACAGAACAAAAGAACACTATTACTACTACTAATGACTTGTAATTTTGGTATGGCTGCATGAAGCGTGCAGATGGGCACGGTGGCCTTTCGTCTCATATTGTCTGTGGAAACCCCTGCCTCACTGCTGCAGGCTCTGCAGTCATGACCTGCCCCTATCTTCCCAACTTTAATGCCTCCGTGCTGAGAAATTCTGCCCCACAGCAAGTCAAGGAGAAGTGGACAATGGAAACCGGGGAGAAGGCAGGCAGTGGACTCTTTCTCTTGGCTGTCAGGGCATTCTAGAGAAGACGTTTCTTTTGAGTTGCAGCCTGGCAACCCAGACTGTCTTTCACTGCGGCATCCCCTCCGGCCCTGGACACAGGTGCTGCTGTTTCTAATCTCCAATGCTAACAGAAGAGGCAAAGCTCTTTCCTCATCGTGCTCCGGTGACGCGTGTGCCGTCCTTAAGTGAGTCCCCACCCCCTACCTCTGCACCAAGTTTTAGCATCAGACTGGCAGTGGGGTTTGTAAGACAATGGGCTAAACGATGGTTTATCTGAAACGACACTTGCCAATTTGTATAAGCACTGAGCCATTTCTGCAGGCGTGCATGAATCGTTTAGCCGTTCCTGCCATGAGGGTTCTAGCCGAAGAGGCTTTCACGAGCACTATCGCCTTTGACACTGTGGAAGACACACATGGAACAGAACACACTTTTTCTTTTGGTGTGTGTGTGTCCGGTGCCTGGAAGTCATGGCGACCTCTGGCGACTCCTATTGGGGCATGGAAGACGTTCAGAGAAGTGGCTTGATAGCCTGCCTCTGCCTCCCGGCCCTGGTATTTCTTGGAGGTCTCTCATCCAAATACTTACCAGGGTCAGCCCTGCTCAGCTTCTGAGATCTGACGAGATCCGGCTTGCCTGGGCTATCCAGGTCAGGGCGAACAGAACATGCTTTTCTGAACCTGACTGACCTGACCACATGTGTCCCAAAACGAAAGCTCTGCATAAGCAAACTATTAAGGGCATGCTTATCAATCTAGAACAACTGGCGAGAAGTCAGTCTACCTAGAGATGAGCTACACCAGCATCATCACCAATGGTGCAAAAATTGCTCTTTTTGATTCAGTGTAAAAATAGCCTATAGGATTTAGATTAGGGTTTCTCAATGCAGTTTGGGATAAGAGTATAATCCTATGCTTGCTTACCTGGGAACAAGCACCAATGAACATCATGGGGACTTCTTCCAAGTAGATATGGATAGGATTGTGCAGTATGTATACCATGAAAACAAAACCACCTAGAAAGATTTTAGGGATTTCCTTCCATGGAGGTTTTCAAGAATAGACTGGGACAGCCCCATTGCATACATGCTACTCAGCCTTGTAAAACTGCTCTTCTGAAATGCTAAGGAAACCTCCCCATACTATCAGTGGTATGGTGCAGCCAATGCTCCCTCTAAGCTGTGGAGTCCTGTGAGCAAAAATTCTACTTTGTGAGCTACTGGCATTAAAGTTGTGAGCGAGCAATTTGGCTGCTGCATAAGTTAGCTTGCTGTGGAGCCCTCCTTCCTGAGCTAAGACAAAAATGTGTGAGCTGGAGGCTAAAAAACTGTGAGCTAGCTCGCACTAACTCAGCTTAGAGGGAACACTGGGTGCAGCATGCGCACCTTGATCCTAAAGGAGTTGCTAAAAGCAGAGCTGAGCAATGATGAAAAGCCCGGCAGCATTTGCCCAGGCCAACCCATTTAAGCCAAAATGAAGCCAATCTACACTCCTCCACACAGAGGCTGCAATCAGGGCTCTCAGCTACCTTCTCCTATGTTCTGGGCGTCAG